GGAAGTCAAGAGATACCTGGAGTAACAGGCAAATTTGACCTTGGAGAACAAAACGAAGCAGGCTAACAAGGCTAACAAGAGTTTTGCTGAGAGAACACACTGGTCATAGCAAATACCCTTTTCCAACAACACAAGAGAAGACTCTACACGTGGACATCACCAGATGGCCAATACCAAAATCAGATGGGTTATAGTCTTTGCAGCCAAAGATGGAGAAGCTCTATACAGTCAGCAAAAACAAGGCCGGGAGTTGACTGTGGCTCAGACCATGAACTCCTTATTGCCAAATTCAGACTTAAATTGAAGAAAGTAGGAAAAACCACTAGACCATTCAGGTATGACTTAAATCAAATCCCTTGTGATTATACGGTGGAAGTGACAAATAGATTCAAGTGATTAGATCTGATAGAGAGCCTGAAGAACTATGTACAGAGGTTTGTGACATTGTACAGGGGGCAGTGATCAAGATTATCCCCCCAAAAAAGCAATGCAAAAAGACAAAATGGTTGCCTGAGGAGGCCTTATAAATAGGTGAGAAAAGAAGAGAAGTGAAAGGCAAAGGAGAAAAGGAAAGATATACCCATTTGAATGCAGAGTTCCAAAGAATAGCAAGGAGAGATAAGAAAGCCTTCCTCAGTGATCAGTGCAAAGAAATAGAGGAAAACAATAAAATGGGAAAGACTAGAAATCTCTTCAAGAAAATTAGAGATACCAAGGGAACATTTCATGCAAAGATGGGCTCAATAAAGGACAGAAATGNGCTGGACTGGATGAAGCACAAGCTAGAATCAAGATTGCTGGGAGAAATATCAATAACCTCAGATATGCAGATTACACCACCCATATGGCACAAAGTAAAGAAGAACTAAAGAGCCTCTTGATGGAAGTGAAAGAGGAGAGAGTCAAAAAGTTGACTTAAAACTCAACATTCAGAAAACTAAGATCATGGCATCCAGTCCCATCACGTCATGGCAAATAGATGCGAAAACAGTGGAAATGGTGACAGATTTTATTTTTTGTGCTCCAAAATCACTGCAGATGGTGACTGCAGCCATGAAATTAAAAGACGCTTGCTCCTTGGAAGAAAAGTTATGACAAAACTAGACAGAGCATTAAAAAGCGGAGACATTAATTTGCCAACAAAGGTCCATCTAGTCAAAGCTATGGTTTTTCCAGTAGTCATGTGTGGATATGAGAGTTGGATTATAAAGAAAGCTGAGCACCAAAGAATTGATGCTTTTGAACTGTGGTGTTGGAGAAGACTCTTGAGAGTCCCTTGGACTGCAAGGAGATCCAAGCAGTCCATCCTAAAGGAAATCAGTCCTGAATATTCATTGGGAGGACTGTGATGCTGAAGCTGAAACTCCAATACTTTGGCCACCTGATGCAAAGAGCTGACTCATTGGAAAAGACCCTGATGCTGGGAAAGTTTCAAGTTGGGAAGAGAAGGGGCGACAGAGGATGAGATGGTTGTATGGCATCACAGACTCAATGGAGATGAGTATGAGCAGACTCCGGGAGTTGGTGATGGACAGGGAAGCCTGGTGATCTGTAGTCAATGGGGTCGCAAAAAGTTGGACACGACTGAACAACTGAACTGAACTGAGATATATCGACCTGTAGTTTCCTTTGCTATAGTGTCTTTATCAGGTTTCTATTTTAGGGTAATTATGGTCTCATAAAACTAGTTGGGATGTGTTTCCTCATGAAGAAAGTATTTTAAAATATACTGTGGAGAATTGGTATCATTTTTTCCTTAATAGTTTGATAGAATTCACCAGTAAAACTACATGGACCTGGTGATTTCATTTTTGGAAATTTGTAAATAGTGAACTCTATTTCTTTAATTGTTATGTTGTACTATTCAGAATATCTATTTCTCAAGCGAGATATGGTAATTTTTGTAATTTAAGACATTAGATTTTTTTAATCTGTTGTCTAATTTTTGGGCATATAGCTGTTCATGGTACTTCTTTTTATCTTTTTACTGTCCTTGGTAGTAGTAGTAATGATCTCTCTCTCATTCCTGATATTTGTAATTTGTATCATTTTTCTTTTTCAGGTCTAGGCTGTCTAGAGCCTTATCAATTTTTATTAATCTTTTCAAATAAGCACTTTTTGATTTATTCATTTTCTTGTGTTTTCCTCTTTTAACTTTTGTTGATTCCTCCTCTAGTTTTTATAATTTATTTCCTTTGCTTGCTTTAGGTTCAATTTGTTCTTCTTACTGTAGTTTTCTTAGGTGGATGTTTAGGAAATCAACTGTAAATTTCTCTTTTTTAAAATATAAGTAGTTAATGCTATAAATTGCTAAGAATATTTTCATGTTATATTGTCATTTAGTTTAACATAATTTAAAATTTCTTGGAAACTTGTTTGACCTAGTGATTAATTAGAAGTGTGCTGTTTAATATCCAAATAGTTGGACATTTTCCAGCTATCTTTCTGGTACTACTTCTTGTTTAATTCTGTGGTAATCTAAAAGCATAGTCTGCATGATTTCTATTCTTTTAAAAATGTTAAGATGTATGTCATGGCCTAGTGTATCATTCTATTTTGGTGACTATTTCATGTGTTCTTGAGAAAAATGAGTATTCTCCTGTTCTTTGATGGAGTATTCTATTTATGTCAATTTGATCAAATTGATTTATAGTGCTGTCCAGGTCACTTATGTTTTTACTGATTTTTGGCCTGCCTAATCTATCAATTACTGACAAAGTTGTGTTGAAGTCTGCAAGTATAATAGCAGACTAATCTATTCTCCTTTCTATTCTATTAATTATTGCCTCATGCATTTTGATGCTCTTTTGTTAGGTACCAATGGGTTTATAATTTTTGGTGTGTTCTTAAAGAACCGACTTCCCTCTATCATTCTTTATCTCTGATAGTCTACTTTATCTGAAATTAATATAGTTACTCCAGCTTAATTTTGATGTTAAGCATCTTATATCACTTACCACTGCTTTCCTTTATCTGCAGTCTTTATATTTAAAATGTTTTTCTTCCAGATGACAGATAATTATGTTTCTTTCTCTTGTCTGACAGTCTTGGGCTTTTAACTCTTTAGTCCATTTATAAATGGCTTTTGATATAGTTGGATTGAATTCTGCCATCTTTGTAACTGTTTTCTAAACATTATATTTGTTCTTTGCTTCTTTTTACCTCTTGTTTGTCTTCTTTGGTTTTTAATTGAGAATTTATATGATTCTCAATTGTTCTCAATTGTCTCCCCTTGGTATATCATTTTTATTTCCTTTTAACATGTTTTTAGTGATTTCCTTAGGGCTCACAATATATAGGTTAACAATTTAAATCAACTTTCAAATGACATTATACAACTTCACGTATCGTGCAGGGACCTTATAACATAGTATTAAATCCTCCACTATCCCTTGTGAAATTTCTGTAATATATTTCACTTACACAGAAGTTACAGTTAGTCAATACATTACTACTTTATTGCTTTTAGATGAATGAAGAATAATAAAAATATTTCTTTTTACCTTTGTTCCTTCTCTGACACACTTCCTTTCTTAAGGTAAATCCAAGTTTTTGATCTAGAAACTTTTCATCTATCTGAAGAAATTCTTTTAGTTTTTTAATTGGACTGTTCTGCTGGTAACAAACTTGCTGTGTTTTTGTTTTAGAAAGTCTATTTCTCATCTACTTTTTAAAAATGCTTTTGCTAGACATTGAATTCTATGTTGGTCATTTTCTGTCAACACTTAGAATGTTTTGCAGTATTCTACTTTTGCTTGCATGGATCCCAATGAGACGTTTGCCGTGTTCATATCCTTGTCCCCTACATTGGGAAGGTTGTCTTCTTTCATTGGTTTCTTTCAGCATTTCCTCTTGTCTTTGGTTTTTCTACAGGTAAACATATCAATAATAAGTCTAGGTGTGGTTGTTTTTGGTACTTATCTTGCTTGGTGTTTCGAACTTCTGCAATCTGTGGTTTGGTGTCTGGGAATAATTTTGGTAGCATCTCAGCAATTATCACTTCAAACATTTCTTTTGCCCCATTCTTTCTGGTGTTGCAATTATTTTTATACACACACACACACACACACACACACATACATACACAGAATTCTCAGGTTTTTGTTCTTTTTTCTCTGCTTGTGTTTTAATTTTGTCTTTATTGATCTATCTTCAGGTTTACTAGTTCTTTGCTTAACTGTGGGTAAGTCTATTTATGAGCCTCCTGAAGGCCTTCTTTAACTGTGCTTTTTATTTCTAACATTTACTTTTGAAATTTCTACAATTCTGCTGACATTACCCATTTGATCTTACATGCTATTTGTTAACATATTAATCATGGTTATTTGAAATACCTTATCTGTTAATTCACATATCTGAATGTGGTTATGATTGCCAAGTCTTCCAAAACTGTGACTTTTAGTATGCCTTTTAATAAAAAATTCAAAGTTGACATGTGTCAATAGTCGCTGCAGGAAATAGACCTTTAGAGGGCAGGATTTATGGTAATCTACATATGAGTTGGGCTGTATTTTAATGTTTGCTGTAGCTATAAGGTGTAGAGATTCCAAACTCCTCTAGTGTCATTATTTATTTCCTCTTTTGGCTTTAAGGTTTCTCATTACACTGTTTCCCAGAGGGGTCTATATTTTATAGATTTTCAGTTGTAAAGTCTCTGCTACACTGACTGTTGGTGTGGGGGCTGGGTGCAGAGAAGGTAAGAAAGTCTTTTAGTGGAACTTGGTCTCAGAGTGTGGCCTTCACCCCTGTTTCTATTCCTTTTCCAGGCAGATAGCTCCTCCCATTTTCCTTGTACCCAGTTCCTGATATATTTCCTTGAAACTGTCTGCTGTTCATGTTTCCTTTCCCCTGCTTTAGATGAAATCCTAACTAGAAAGGACTACCAGGGGAAGAAAATCTCTTTCCCTATGTGAGATAAGGTTTCAGTATTGCTCTACGGCAAAGTATATCTCTTTGGAGGTTGTCAGTCTTTGTTTTCGAGAAGAAAATGAGAGGCTTACCCTTGCAGCGCTTCCCCTGTCAGCCACAGGAGGTTTTGCTTGAATGCATACTGTGCGAAGTTGTGGAGTTCTGGAAGAAAAGCCCGAGACAGTGTAAGTACTCTCCTTTGAGTGCAGCCCCCAGGAATGTCCTCATCAAGCTAGTTACCACTTAGCTTACAGCAAACTCAAAATTACTAGTACAGGAAGCATTTATACAACTTGTGGCTTCTGGAGGCTTCACGTCCAGGTAAGCAAATGTCTAGTGCTGTATCTCTCTGTATGCACCAATGTCTCCAGATTTTAAAGGGGCAGTTTGCCCTGTGACCTCAGTTCTTTGATAAGTTCAAGAACATTTATTAGTTTTCACTTTTCCAAGCTTTTTCTTATAATGCCAAGAGTGATGCCTTATAATCTCTTTTATATGTTAAAGCTGAAACAGATAAAACCAGGTCTATCAATTGGGAATGGGAAAAATTAGATGTGCTTCATTTTAAGTGTTAAGACTGGAGTCTTAACATAATCTCACAAACAATAACTATGTACATTGGATAAGTAAATAACTGTGGGATAATAATTTTAAAGCCAATAAATACCTGATGTAATACAGATTTATTGTATTCTCCATGGAGCAAAGAGAAAATTTCAGAGTAGGTGCTGTTTGGTGGAGAAGAAGGGCAGAGCTCACTCTTTGGAAGGTACATTCACTATTATGCACCTCTTTCTTAGTTAACATTTTGGATTTATGGTTTGGACTCCATAAATAAAATCAAGAGGAAATATCGATCTTGGCAAAATAAAGGTAGGTCTAGAAGCACATTGAAACGTTTGAAAAAAGTGCACAGACTGAAGAGAGGAAGAAGCAACTCCTCTTCTTATTTGGCATATATTCACAAATAAAACTGTTGTTCATTGAGCCATGCCTGCAGCTTAAATTTGTTCCATATGATAGTCTCTGGCTAGACAGTGTGTCTAGTAAATTGGTGAGGGTTTCTGCTTGAAAACATAACATCTTAGAAAACAGCAGATCTTAGAGGGCATTTACTTAATGTGTTTTTAGGTGATAAGTCACTATGCCAAGGAAAAAAGGAGTCGTATTGGAAAAAATGGTATGTTTTTTCAGGTTATTATGGTACAACATCATTAACCGAGCAATCCCTATGTGAGGTAATTCTGTTACCCATTATTATAGTTTTTATTTCATTTAAAGTCTGGAGTCAGTAACTGTTTCCTCCAGACCAATATGAGTCGCACATGCTTTCATTCTCCTCTTTTCTTTCTTGCCTCCATCAATGTCCATGCGGAAAAATGCCTAGAATATTAATTCATATTATTGTTGAGATTCTTCTCTTGTCATAATACTTATTTAGACCTACCAATGAGTAGTTCTCACTTCCATCCACTATATATTCACACATACTTCTGTTTCTTTCTGGATTAACTTTCTTCCCTGATGTACTTTATCCTCCAAAAAGTAGCTATTTTCAGAAACAGCCTGTAAACAGTCTGAGATGAAACTCACCCTTACCTGATAGTATCTGTGGTCATAGACTTCTAGGATCAAAGTATTTTCAAAGTATTTGCATCTGTACTTACAGGTGTTTCACTGTTTTCTTGTTTCCAATACTGTTGATGATAAATCTATTGTAACCTGAATACTTGCAGCATGTTCTGAAGCAAAGATGTGCAAATAAGTAGATTTTTGTCTTTACTAACAATGCCCTGCAGTGTATACGTCAATACGACTTTGGTGCTCCTATTGTGTGTACTTTAGTGTTGCTCTGTCTCCCTTTCAATTTACTACTTAGTAATTACCAGTTATGATTTAGAATATTGCTTTACATTCATTCTCTTCCTTTCTCCAAAACCTCTATTACATATTATAGTGGGACTTCTGTTCTATCCATAAAATGGTCTGTCCATGTTTAAAATTAGGTTACTTATTTCTTATAAGTTGAAACAGCTATTTATTCTCCATTAAATAGTATTTCCTTCTTTGTTGAAGGTATACTAATCCGATATCTATCTCTAGTTTCTTTATTCTATTTCATTGTCCCTCTACCTCGACTCTAACGTCACAGATTTCAATTACTGTAGGTTTAGAACAAATCTTGAAACAGATAGCATAATCCCTCTGACTTTTCAAAGTTTTCTGAAGTTTTTTTTTTTTTAGCATTTCCATGTCCATGAATATAAATTATGCCTCTCCAATTATTTACATTTTTTAAAATTTCTCTCAGTAGGAAAGAAAATTCCTCAACCTGATGAAAAACTACAGTGGACATCATTGTAAGGTTGAACGCTTTATGTCCGTGATAGGAAACAATGATATGTGATCTCACCAACTCTATTTAATGTTGTGTAGGCAATCTCATGGAGAAGAAAATGGCAACCCACTCTTGTATTCTTTCTTGGAGAGTTCCATGGACAAAGGAGCCTGGAAGGCTACAGTCCATGGGGTTACAGAGACTCAGATACGACACAGTGACTAACATACACACAGGAAATCTTAACTAGTGCAACAAGGTAAAAAAAATAAACATTTAAAAGGAGTGAAGACCTATTACACACAACATGAAGCTATGCAAACTGACAAGTGATTTTTAGTAAGATGGCAGGACAAAATGTTCATATACAAAATTGTATTTTTATATACTATAAGTGAAAGTGAAAGTCACTCAGTTGTGGCCAATTCTTTGTGACCCCATGGACTATACAGTTCATGGAATTCTCCAGGCCAGAATCCTGGAGTGGGTAGCCTTTTTCTTCTCCAGGGGATCTTATACTAGCAATCAATAATTGGATTAATTAAAAGTACCATTTGCAATGTCAACATGAAATTTTTACAGATAAATATAAGACAAGCTATAAAAGATGAATATGTTGAAAACTGAAACATATTACTGAATTACACAGTGTTCATACATCTAAAGACTGACTAAATGTTAGTGTCCAATTTTACAAAATTAGAGCCTCAATGCAATCTCAATCAAATTCCCAGCAGGATTTTTAAAAACATTGACAATTTGACTCTAAAGTTATGGAAATGCAAAGGCTAGAATAGTCAAGCCTATTTTGAAACTGTAAATCATCAGCGTCTGAAGGAAGTTAGCAAGACTTACTATTAGGCTACAGTAATTAAAATAGTGTGATAGGCATACAGTTTAATGGAATAGACAGACAGTTACAGAAATAGTATTGCACCTATATGGTTAATTGATTTTGAACAAATATGCCAAGGAAATTCAGTGGATGCAAGAAGTTCCTTTTCAACAAATGATACTGAAACAACTAGACCTCATATTGGAAAGAATGAACCTCAACCCTAATCTCTCACCGTATATAACTCATCATGGATCATAGGTCTAAAATTATTAACTAAAAATAATGAAGAAATATTAGTGGCCTGAGTTAAGCAAAGCTTTTTTAAGGAAACAGAAAAAGCATGACTCATAAGAATAAAATACCCAGAAATAAACTTACCTCAGAAAGCAAAAGACCTGTACTTCGAAACCTGCAGGACACTAGTAAAAGAGATTGAAGACACAAACATATGGAAAGATATTCTTGTATTGAGAAATATTTCTAAAATAATCATACTACCCAAAGCAATCTACAGACTCAGTACAATCTCTATAAACTACTATCTTGAAGAAGAAAAACAGAGCTGTAGGAATCGGGCTTCCTGACTTCAGATTGTACTATCAAAGGTACAGTGATCACAGCAGTATGGTACTGGCACAAAAACAGATCAACGGGATAGGACAGGAAAGGTCACCTAGTCTATGACGAAGGAGGCTAGGATATACAATGGAGAAAGGACAGTGTCTTCAGTAAGTGGTTTGGGGAAAACTGGACAGCTACACGTAAAAGAATAAAATTAGAACATTCTCTAACACTATATACAAAAATAAACTCAAAGTGAATTAAAGACCTAAATGTAAGACTGGATACTACAAAACTCCTAGAGGAAAACATAGGCAGAACACTCTACAACGTGTATCACAGCAATAGTTTTTGAACCCATCTCCTACACTAATGGAAACAAAAGCAAAAATAAATGGGACTTAAAAAGCTTTTGTACAGCAAAGGGAAGCAACAAAATGAAAAGACAACAAACAGAATGAGAGAAAATATTTGCAAACAATGTGACCAACAAGGGATTAAACTCCAACATATTCAAACAGCTCAAGCAGTTCAATTTCAAAGAGACAAGTGACCCAATCAAAACATAGGTGGAAGATCCAAATAGACATTTATTCAAAGATGACATACAGAAGGCCAATAGTCACATAAAAATATGTTCAATATTGCTAATTACAGTAAGCTCCTACATATGAACAAGTTCCATTCTGAGAGCATGTTTTTAAGTCCAATGAAGTTAGGTAGCCAACAAACACAGCCAGCTGTATAGGAACTGTAATGTAGTAAGTTTATAATACTTTCCACACAAATAATACATAAAAAAACAAAAACTGCAAAAACTAAGATATTTTTTAATCCTACAGTAAAGTGCCTTGAAAAGTACAGTAGTACCAGCTACATCACCACTGCTTTTATGCTTGCTTCCAGACATCTGGGCTTGAAATAAAGATTCTGTACTACTGCATACAGTACTATAAAGTTCACAAAGCACAATCACTTGTGCAGGGTGCATGCCTCTGGCAGTGTATGTCAGACATGCAAACTAACTTATGTGACTGGGCATGTGAATGGATGTTTGTATCTTTGAAAGTTCACAATTTCAAGGTTTCTGTGTAGGGGGCTTACTGTATTAGAGGGATGCAAATCAAAGCTATAATGACATAGCACCTTGTACCAGTCAGAATGGTCATCTCAAAAAGTCTACAAATAATAAATGCTGGAGAAGGTCTGGAGGAAATGGAAACCTCCTAAACTCTTAATGGGAATGTAAATTGGTACAGCTACCATGGAAAACAGTATGGGGCACCTTAAAAAATAAAAATAGAGCTACTGTGTGATCCTGTAATCATCTAGAAAAGATGAAAACTCAAATTTAAAAAGATACATCTCAATGTTCATAGTAGCACTACTTAAATAGCCAAAGCATGTAAACAAGCCAAATGCCCATTGGCAAATGAATGGGGAAAAAAAGATGTGGTATAAATAAAACCACCACCAACCTTAGTCTTGGCGAAGATATGAAGTAGCTAGATCTCTCATACATTGCTGGTGTGAATACAAAGTTACATAGTCACTTTAAACAACATCTTGGCAGTTTCTAAGAATTCACACTTAGCTTTACCATTCAATCTAGCATTCCCACTTCTGTGTATCTCTGGCTGCTCAGTGGTAAAGAATCTGCCTGCCAATGCATGAGCCACAAGAGACGTGGGTTCGATCCCTTTGTCGGGAAGATCCCCTGGAGGAGGGCATGCAACCCACTCTGGTATTCTTGCTTGGAGAATCCCATGAACAGAGGAGCCTGGTGGGCTACGCAAAGAGTTGGACATGACTGAGCATGCATGCACAGTTACCATTCAATCCAGCATTTCCATTTCTATTTATTCAAGGCAAATGATAACAGGGCTGTTGAACAATTTGTACTCAAATGTTCATATGGGCCTTAGTCTTTATAGCTAAAAACTAAGCCAAAAATATATTAATCGGTGAATTAAACATTATGGCATATCCATTCAAAGAGTTTTATTCACCAGTATGAAAGCACACTATTGAAATAATCAGCCACATGATAAATCTCAAAAGCATTATACTAAGTAAAGGAAGCCTAACAGAAAAGATAATCTTATGATTCCATAAGAATAAAATTCTAGTTAAGGCAAAATTACAGAAATAGTTGTTGCCTCACTGTCATGGAAGGGTATTGACTGCAAAGGAGCAGGATGAAACTTTTTGGAGTGATTGAATTATTCTGTATCTTAACTGCTGTTATTGAATGACTACATATTTGCCAGACTCATAAAGTTGTACATTTAAAATTTGTGATTTTTTTTCTTTTTGGTATGTAAAGTTCACCTCAATGAAGCTGATAAAAAAGAAAGGCTCAGAAATGACAGAGAAATTAAAGAACCATTTTTCTTTGCAAATTAAGAGTTGAGGGTAATAGGCCACTTGGAATACTTTTATCACATCAAATTCAGAAATGACTGTTAGAAAACCCTCCTAAAGAGTTTAGCTGTGTTCTTTGCTGGTTTGTTTCCTTTTCCTTAAGATGAAGGATCAATTGTTCCTTTACAGGCAAAGAACCTTTAAAACTTCAGTTTTAATATGAAAAGGGTAATCAAATGCCAGAATTCTCATTTGCACATTTCCTTCTGGGGACAGTATGAGGTAGTGGAGTTTTTGATTATCTAGGTTAGTCAGTTCTCCCGCTCCCTCACAAACTCCAAGATGGGTTGTCCTGCCTCACCGTGAGACTGGGCTCAGACACAAGCCTACACAAGGGAGGACATTGTGAATCTTTCCCTTGCTCACCTTGAGAGTTGCTTAGGCCTAAACACTGTCTAGCTATAAAGGATTTGTAGCACACAGGAATTGTGGACTCAAGATGATTCTAACTACAGTGAAAAAAGCCCAGAGGTGAAGGTAATCATTTTCAGCCATTCTTGTTGGCTTGCCACACACATATCAATGGCTTCATTACCCACACAGTCACACAGAAGTATTTAAAAGTTTACTTCTATTTGGAACATCTTTATCCCATACCTTTTATGGATTTTTCATCTTCCTTAACTGTCATCTTCAGCATTTGCAGCCCTTCTCAAGAGAGAGGAAGAAAAATATGTTGTGTGTGTAATATATGATGACTCAACCCTGTTGTTATCATCACTCACAGGAGAGATGGGAAGTCATAAGGTATGACTTATCCCTCACTCCCTCATTCACAGAGATAAAAACAGAAATGCCATCCCAACATTTAGGCAAGATATACATACCAGGAATGTATGAGAACAATAAATTGTCCCAGTGACTCCAATCTTCTTTCCACAATAAAATGGTAGGATGGAGGTAAGCAATGAAAGCTTTTAGAATAAGATCACTGTGCAACCACAGTCAGTCTTTATATATTTATTCAGATAAAAATTCTTCTATAGTTTGGTGTTCCAGCAGCTACAGCAATCAAAGAGTCTCTAACCACATCTATTAATATCTGCACATGAAATGAGTACATTTAAGTAGATGGTTCTCTGGTTCAAGAGCTAGATTTGCCTGCAGGGTTTAGAGAACCATGAGACACTACAAACTTTCTGAGCAATGACCTAAAAAGGAGCTTAAGCTTTGTAACCTTGAACCTGTTCTTACTTAGCACAAATGTACATCCCATAGCACCATCCATGTTAATATCTATGCACAATGGCCTGTTTCTGGATTTGTTTCAAGATCCCATTTAAGTGTTTTCCCATCTTGCAGCTTTGTATATTTGGAAAGTAGAAAATCATAACAGTCTATTCTGGTCTTTGTATAAGATACATAACCACCATCCCACCAAAATTCAACACCCACCCCACCCCCCACCCCCCGCCCAAATTGCAATTCTACAGGAATCTGTGAAGCTGTGGTATTAAAATCCAAAAAGATATATGTAGAGTAACTCAATGATATTTACAGTTCTGTATATTTTCTCCCTGGCAACATGTGGCTCTTTAAAGAATGTTCTTAAAAATAGTAAACATATTTCAAATTTTCTTACCTGTACAAATCCTGTTATACATTCGCTTTGCAAAGCAGCATGAGAACCTAGAAGAAAAAAAATTAAAAGACCATTCCAGAAAGGTTTTATATATGGACTCTTGTTTGTTGGAAAATTCATCTTTCATCCTTAGTGAGACTATCAGAACTGCACGGGAACCTTAAAGACTGTTAAGATGATTAAGAGCCACATTTAATACTTGCTCCAGTAGCATCTTGACAAACATTTTAATTTTATATCTCTCAAGTAAGCCCATAAAACAGCATGATGTAAAAATTCTTAACAAATATATTAATAAAAATTTAAACATGCATGTATCACTTATGCTTTTTTGAGTTAATTACATAATATTGCCTTGTACACACCTTAATTAGATTAAATATTGATCAGTGCACTTTCCCACTTGCCATTGATATTTCATTAACACATAACAACTGTCTTGTTATATCTCAATGTAATGTTAAGTTCATTAAAGAGTCTGCCTAGAAGTGAAAAGTTATGGAAAGATATACAAAGCAAGCCCTTTTATACATAAAAAGGGTTGGAAACCTCAGCCTATGAATTAAAGTAGGGAAGCGAAATTAACCTCTACTTAGTATAAGGATTTAAAGTAATTAGATTTATTAATTACAATGATCCATACTTTTTTTTGTTGTTTCATAAGATTTGAGGAGTAATATCAGTTAGACTAGGTTCATCTATCACTCTGTATTAAGGAAGAGGTTATGAAATATTACAATTATTCATGAGGATTATGGTCTTTGTTTATTTCAAAAAAGAACCTAGATTTTAAACAGCATTGAAGATTTCTTAGCATGTGATTAAGGCTGTTTATTTTCATGCTGATGAGCTGTGAGCTGTTTCAATGGGGAGATGCTATAATTTTCCCATGATCTGGAAAATAATTCATGGCACTTTTTATGTTGTCTTTAACTGTCACATCTCTTGAGTTAAATATGAGCCCTGTCATTTGGAAGTCAGAAAGTGGCTCCTAAATTTCTCAATTTCATTAGCAATTGATTCAAATCATTTCCCGAAAATAGTCTGAATTGACATATGAATTGTAGTGGTTCCTCAGCTTGGTGATTAATTAATCAAGCCATCAGGTTCACATTAAACTATTTATCAATCTTACGATTTCCTGCTTTTCAGAAAAAATTAAAAAGCACTCTAATGATATTTTATGAGTTTTGAGAAAAATTAAAATAGGACCAAAAAAGTAATCTGTCCTCCCTAATTCATGAAGCTCCATGATGTCAATTCTATCAGGCAAGACACTACAAAGAGGAGATGGGACTAGAATCTCTACCCCAGGGAAGGCACATGGGTCATTTCTATAGGTCATAGTCTCTTCATCTGTAAAATAAGAAAACTGAACTAAATAATCTCTTATTTTCAAAGTTATGTTTGTGAATCAAAAGGTAATATGATAGTTGCGGTCACTTTTAGTTTTATGATTTTGACGTGTACCATTGTCCTTATGTTAAAAACAAACAGCTTGGGATTACTGTTAGATCCTCAAAGGCTCCATATTAAAATTATGAACGATGTTCTTGGATCAGCTATGGACACTGCTCTGCAATTTGCATTTGAAATACAATTTCCCCCCCGAGGCCACATTAGTCTGGGTGATTTCCAACGGGCTTTTATAATAAGGGACCACAGTCAGTTGCTCTGGCCTCGAATGACAGTATCAACCTTTCCAAGATTGGGCCACACCAAAAACTGTTTCTTGGTTGAAAAAACTGCTGGCAAAACATCATGTGTTTGTCTATTTAATTTCATTCAAACTTTCCTGAGTTCAGTTAATAGCCAGTTCTTTTCATAATAAACCACCAGCCAACTAAATTCAGTTCCCTTTCTTTCAAATGTGCTGTGTGAATAACTACAAAATGAATGTCTCATTCTACACAAATCCCTCTGGTATTATTTACAGAAAACTGAAGATTCTCTCTTAAAGAGAACTGTGTTTTAAGTGCTGGGCTGACTCTGATATCATAGGACAGAGATTACAAGCCAAACAGGAAAGACACTGAATGTGTAGAACTTCCATTGCCTTTCCACATTGCTGGGACAAAGGTCAGAGGAATGGTGTCTAAAATGACACAGGAGAAAAATATAATTCGAAAAAATACATGTACCTAGTATTCACTGCAGCACTATTTACAATAGCCAAGACTTGGAGGCAACCTAAATATTCGTTGATAGAAACAAATGGGACCTAATGAAACTTAAAAACTTTTGCACAGCAAAGAAAACCATCAATGAAATAATACAACAATCTATGAAATGGAAGAAAATATTCCGCAAATGAGGCAACCAACAAGGGATTAATTCCCAAAATATACAAACAGCTCATACAGCTCAGTGTAAAAAAAAGAACAAACCTAAATAATCCAATAAAAAAAATGGGCAGAAGATCTAAATAGACATTTCTCCAAGATGACATACAGAAGGTCCACAGGCACATGAAAAAAATACTCAACACTGCTAATTATTAGAAAAGTGCAAATCAAAACTATAAAGAGGTACCATCCACCTTACAATACTCTAAATGGCCATCATCAAAAGTCCACAAATAATAAATTCTGGAGAGAGTGTGGAGAAAGGGGGTCGTTCCTACACTGTTGGTGGGAATATAAATTGGTACAGCAACTATGGAGAACAGTACAGAGGTTTCTTAAAACTTAAAAATAGAACTACCATAAACAATCCTGCAATCCTACTGCTGGGCATATATCTGGAGAAAACCATAATTCCAAAAGATACATGCACCCCAGTGTTCACTCCAGCACTATTTACAATAGGCAAAATATGGATGCAACCTAAGTGTCCATCAATAGATGAAAGGATAAAAAAGATGCGGTACATATGTACAATGGAACATTACTCAGCCATAAAAATGAAATAATGCCATTTGTAGCAACATGGGTGGACCTAGAGATTATTGTACTAATTTAAGTAAGCCAGGCAAAGACAAATGTCATATGATATCATTTATATGTGAAATCCAAAACAATGATACAAATGAACTCATTTACAAATCAGAAATAGACCCATAGACATAGAAAACAAGCTTATGGTTACCAAAAGGGAAATGGTGAGGGTGGGGAAGGATTAATTAGGACTTTGGGATTAAAATATATATACTACTCTATATAAAATAGGTGATCGATAAGGACTTACTGTATAGCACACTCCAGATCTGGTAATAATCTGTAAGGGAAAGAATTGGATAAAGAATTATCTATCTACCTACCTATCTGAATCACTTGGCTGTACCCGTGAAAATAACACAACACTGTAAATCAACTAAACGTCAATAAAATAAATAAAATGACAATTTTTATGGCTCATTCCTCAGCTACTCCCTTCTCAGAAGGGTTGGGGCATTTGTAGTGGCTGGTTCCCCATGGATAGCATGAACTGCAAAGACGGGGCCTTGGTCTGAGAGAAGACCACAGAGAAATCATCCCAAGTGGGGTTTCCCTGGGGACTGAAGGGACCTTCTCTCTAAAAGCTGGGAAAATGCCTCTCACCCTGGGGAAATCTGGGGTCCCACCTTGGATTGTGGTGGTGCTGGGGACTCCATACTTCTACCCCTGCCTCAGACACACACCCCGTTTTCCTAGAAAGGGTTATCTGACACACAAACCCACAAAGCATCTCATGCTAAGACTTTATATTCAGACAAAGTGAAGTTAAGTCAGAGAAAGACGTATCACATGATACCACTTATATGTGTAATCTCAAAAAAAGATACAAATGAACTTGTTTACAAGACAGAAACAGGCTCACTGACTTAGAAATTAAACTAATGGTTACTAAAGGGGAAAGGGACAAAGAGATAAATTAGGAATTTGAGATTAATAGATATGCATTACTATATAAAATAAACAAGGACTTACTATATGGCACAGGAAACTATAGTTGGTAATAACCTATACTGGAAACTGAAATATAATAGATATACATATGTATGTGTGACTGAGTCACATTGTTCACCTGAAACACTGTAAATCAACCACAATCAAAATAAATTATTTTAAAAAGAGACTATCTCTAAATGATGTCATTCACACAATTTCTAGGATGCATGACAGAAATGGGGAAAAGATAAAGTACATCACACAATCCAAAATTTGTGCTCCATTGTGTGAAAATATTGTCTATAATCCCCATTTTATCAATTCTGTGATAATGTTAATGTAGCAAATATTACATTTTTTAACTTAAAGAATTCATTCACTCAGCATGAACATTTAAAAACACAACATATAAATATAACACATATAATTTTTAAAAAGCTGTTTCAGTTTCATTCCTCTCCCACTCCCCCCATATACTGGAAGTCTCAAGAAAATGGAGAAGCCCAGGCCTCTTTGGACCTCACACGGGTACTGCATCCTTCATTTTAGTCTATATAATACCAGAGTTCCACCCTGTGGGAAGACAAAGCCAAGTATAAAAGGAAAATAACATATGGGAGAGGATGTCACAAGTACCAAATGAACCACCCAAGCCCTATGACAGCCTTGGTCTATTGCCAAAAGACACCTCCAATTATATTAATTAAGAGAAGGAAAAATCCCTCACCTCTAGATCATGTCCTACTGCTGCTATTTTGTTATAATGCACTTGTAATGCATAACTATCCCAAGCCCTTTCTGGAATATGCCATGCTTTCAAACTCCTGGGCTGGTACCATGAGGATGGAAAGGAATTGCATTTGCAAATGTCAGCCTACCTCATCCATCTCCCCTCATTCAAACAATACGCATTTGAGGTTCAGCAATTGGAGTTATATATTTTTCCTTAATGTTGTTGTAAGGTAATGGTTCTCTTATCTGAAATTCATCAGCCTGCTATAAATTTAAACTCCATTACTGCCAATAGAGAAAAGCTAAGCACCAAACCACTTTCAATAAATTTGCACTTATGCAATTGAACTGATACGGCCTCAGAGGAAAAGGTGAAACTCGTCTTGAGATATTTAAGTTAGTCTGAGTCACTGCTTCGTCTGGTGTTAAATTGGATCCATCGAGAA